CTCTAAAATTAAAGTCACTTTTCTTCTTTCAATCTCTACCTTCTCCCCAAATCTGAAAATGCTAATCCTCTTCTCATGTTCTCTCCTGGTTAATCTTACCCAACTAAATGTTGGGAGTTACCTGGATTCCTACAGTTCCTTTCTTATTCTCTTCACATTTGGTCATTAACTCCTCTCTCCTGATTTCTCTCTCCTCTCTCACCTCTGCCCCTCTTCTTTTTACAATTATCTTCTTGTCAGTCTAATACCTGCGTTTAGGCCTCACATTACCTAAGAATGTCTTTCAGAAAGAAAATCTGTTCATATCTTCCTTTATTAAAAATCCTTCAATGGCTCTCCAAAACCAGAAGGATAAAGTCCAAGCTCATCTCCGGCCCTTCCTGTCCTAATTCTACCAACTTGTCCAGTCATCTCTCAATACTCTCTTCTCCCCCCTTTTACTGTTAACCATATAAAGATACTACCATGTCTTCAAATGTATCAGATTGTTTCATACTGCCATGTCTTTATAGTAGCTGCTTCATATTAGAGTATTCCCACTCCCAAGCCCTTTACCATTTCATACCCAGGCTCAATCTATCATGTCCTTTGTTCAAGGGTCATCTCTACAGCTTACCCTCAGTTACTGAGACTGAGTTGATCATTCTCTCATTTGTGCCACTGTACACTGTGCTCATGATTGTTCTTGAATGAACTCTGCAAACTTCTGCCTTTGAAAATGACACCATGGTTGCTAAAATGGTATTTTGAGTTGTATCTTAGTTATAATTCTCATAGTGATATGACCTACTCTGGGCGACAGTCCTTTCATAGCCCTCAAGACCAGATTAAGAGCCTCTTCTCTGCCCTAGTATGCTACTATTCCTATATGGCATTACAGTTGTCCATTTCTTATCTCTCTCCTCTCATTCATCTGAGAACTCTCTGAGGATGGGTTTCCAGATCAATTAATTCTTTTCTTTTCAACATTGAGTACAATGCTTTGTACATTGTAGGCAGTCAATATTTATATAATGAATGAAGGTTGCTATTGAATAAATTATTTAACACTAAAAATAGAATAATTATTTTAGTTTTGCCTTTACTCTTTGAATCTCCTAGATGTCTGAATTTCCATGCAGCAAACATCATATTTAATCTGGAATTAGTACCACAAAGCCTGCTTCCTGCACTGACCAAGGATGAGGTTAAGTTACGAGCTAGAGTTGGGACATTATTTCAGATTTGCCTGCCTTCTCCCTGGCTTGCCAGGGACAGTTTACCATCTAAACCCATAGTAAAGTGTTGGACACTGGGTCAACAAATAAGGTCAGCCATCTATATATTGCTTTGTGAACTGAGTGCTCTTAGGGGATATAATATAATAACAAAGGCTAACATTTATTGTTTATTTTATTACAGGCTAGGTAATAATTGCTTTACATGTATCATCCCATTTAATTTTTATCCTATAGATGGGAGCTGGTATTGCCCTCATTTTATCAATGAATTTACTGAGGCTTTGGCATTTGCTCACAACAGTCACACATAACTGATATGGAGTAAAACTGGGATTCAAACAAAGGCCTGCCTGACTCATTTTATGTGAAACACACACACACACACACACACCAAAGAATGAATTCTTTTTTTTTTTTGATGGTCTTAGTTATAGCAAAGCTCCAAATTATAGCTTCTTGCCTTCTGTCTTCTTGATGATCTAGGAAATGCAGGTTGTTACAAACCAGAGGAGTAGACTGTATTAGTCCAAAATTTATCCCAAGTAGTCATGGAAGGGGAGCTGATTCCTAATGGCTAAAGCTCTGTTAGAAAGCTATTATCAATCAATTTGAGTGTTTGCTATGTATAAACACTATACTAGCAACTCACATTTCTGATAACCCTGTCTTTGAGTGTATGAACTATCAGGATACAAACAATGAAAACATGGAAATTTTCTTATTCATGGTGTGTTCCAAATATCACCATGTACACAAATGGCAGACTTTTTGGAGTCTATTTATTTTCTCTTGGGTAAGAAAATGGGCAAGTTAGCTTTACAAACTCCCTTAACTATAGGAAGGGCTGATCTTCAGCAATAGGTTTTTAACATCTGGTCATAGGCCAATACTAGATCAGCTTAGGACTAGCTGCTAGTCTTGGATCAATTTAGAGGTTGAAGACTCTCCCATTCATAGACCTTGTGAAGAGCTGACAAAAGTTCTTCTCAAGTGACATAGTGCACTTTCCAGCTAGCATCACGTGGACTTCAAGAAAGGTGACTTTCCCCATAATACAGTTTGTAGATTCACAATGCCTCTGTTGGATAACTGTACCATCCAAAGAGATTTAAAATGCCATAAAAATGTGTGTTTAAATAACCCTGAGTCTCATTTTTGTGTAAGTTTTCAGTCAAACATTGAGCCCATTCATCTTTCATATACTTAAATTTGATATCTGGTATATGCTGTTTACATCTAAACACTTGTTTTAAAAAGTTTTATATGTTGAAGAATAGCACCCTAAATTATTAAAAAAAAGTTGATAAAAAACACAAGAAGGACAAATATGTTATATGTATAGGATTTAGCTTTGGAAGAGTATGTTGCAAATGATACAATTTATCTTTCACTCCATTGATGCTTTTACATTGATAGTAAGAGACAGGGAAATATGAGTTAAAAACTTGGGCTCTGGAGCAAGACCTTAGGAATTCAGGGTTTTGCTTTGTCACTTATTAACCATTTGACTTTGGTCATACTTTTAATCTCTCTTCATCTTAGTTTCCTCATTTGTAAGAAGGAAATTACAGAATTTACCTCTTTGGATCACATGAGAATTAAATGAACAAATTCATATAAAGAGATTAGAATGGTATCTGGTCTACAGTAAGCTCACAATAAGTGTTACTTGTAATCCTCCTGCTATTGCCTTGCATATCTAGAGATCACAAATACATGTTTTACATCTAAAACCCAGTTCATTCATTTATTCATTAGCCATTTAATTACTTATTCAATGTTTAACAAATTCATTTATTCCCTAAAGATTTATTGATTACCTATTAAATAGCAAGCACTGTGCTTGGTGATATGAGAGATAACATAATGAATCAGGTTTTGATCCTATATTCTTAACAAACATAATTTGATGGAGAGAGATAAAAAGCATATACAAATAATTATTGTACAAAACAGAGATGCTCAGTGAAGTAAGAGCTTCAAATGAGGTCATACAAGAATTCTGAATATATAGACGTTTTTCAGACTTCTAGGGCTATGCTCATAATTACAGATAAGATTTGCTTATTATGTCTTTGTTGACAAATTAATCAAATTGCGCTAGTATTTCACAGCACCTCTACATCCAGGAAGCCAGTGGCAAAAGGAGATGACTACAGTCCATTCTGAAGACACCATGCTTAGAAGCCCTTTCAGCAGTGCATTATTTCCAAATGATTGTGTTAAGGTTGCCAGAGCACCACAAACACTTAAGTAAGTGACATTTGTTCCTAATTTGTCACATTCATTAATGTTTCAGTTTCAAAAATCAGAATGTGTTTTAGAAATTTAAATAGCAAAAAGTTAATGTGTTAATAAGCTTTAAATTTTTCTTTACTTTGTCTTTTTAATTCATTTATTCTTTCAGGTTCTTGAATATTTAAATCATTTAAAATATTAATAGTATACCAAAGAAGTATCAATATTTATATTAAATTGGAATTCACACTGCTCTGTAATACTTTTAATGGTTTATATTATTCATAATTACACTAAATAAATCATCCTCATGGAAGAAACTTAAGCAAGTTTATTATACTATGGTATTGCATGGCAAGCAGTGTTTTTCAGAATGGGGGTATTAAGAAATATTAAGTAATATTAAGCTGGAACAATAAGTGATGTGTTGTTTTTAAAGTATATATAGAGCAAATCCTTTTCAAATGATTATTTTCTACTAACAACTAATATATTTTATTTAACATCAGACGTACTTAAATTGTGGTAATTCCAAGTTCATAAATCATGAAACTTCTTATATTTTTAAGTAGTAGAAGTATTATGTATACCATCCTTACTTCTGCAAAATGGAAGTGATCATGTCTGTAATGAATTACACAATATTCACATTTTTCAGAAACAGCTTAATATCACAGGATGATAACATAAATCTATGTATGTCAGCTTACTATAAAAATATTAACTATAAAAGATAAGGATGATTCAGATAAGTTTGTGGAACTGAAAAGACAATATATTCTGCCTAATCTTTGAACATTTTGAGAAATACTCCACTTCAAAATTAGGACTATTTTATGGTTATGAAAATGTGTTGTTTATTCAGCTCCTAAAAAGCACTAAGAGTAATTGTAAGAGAAAACATCAGCTTAGGTTTCACTCCCTTCAACTAATCCTCATGTTTGTTCTTCCCCTTTCATTCCTGTCCTTAGGAACCAAGATACATTAGAAATATAGTATTTATTTTAGCAAAACCTTAAGTTGCATTTCAAATACAGTTTTTAGTAAAAACATCTATATGGATAAAATACTCTGTCCATGATCATTTACTTACTCTTTCATTTTACATATGTCATGTGAAATTCTCACTATTCCAAGATGAATGTCTAAAGAAAACCAACCAAGAGTAAATTCAGCCAAAATTAACCTATGCCTCAGGATAATGTAACACATTTTTAAAAACAAAACAAAACAAAACAAAAAAACAAAAGCCCACCAAACCATCTTCAGTCAGAAGACATTTTTCAGTGGGTCTTATTATTCAGGTAATTTTTCCCTTTTCTCAGCTCTAAGACATTTTTCTAAACACATGTAGACTTCAGTAGAGATTCAAAAATTCTCAAACACCCATACCATTTAGGGGCCAAGTCTCCTCTGTGTAAGGGATGTGGCACATCAGGCTGAGTTCTAAAATGAACATACGCCATTCTCAGGTTTTATCTCTGCTGATGGTCAGGAGCCAAGGGGCCCCCGGGAGCATTTTGGCAACACTGTGTTACTTACGGTTGAGAGGCAGGCTCGCATTGGTTGTGCCTAGCTTGTTGGCAGCCACACAAGTATAGTTGCCGAAGTGCTCTTGGGTCACATTGGTAACAGTGAGAATGGACCTTGTGCTAAAGTTTTGAATAATGATTCCTTGTTGGCCATTGAAGAGCCTAGAAGACAAAATAAACTCTAGGTAAACAGGCATTGTGAATACCATTTTTAGTTTTAGCTTCATTGGGGTTGTCATGGCAACCCATAGACAGTTTTGTTCACATTCATGTTAGCATATAATGTGATAATATAATGCAATTATATTTTCCTTACGTTAGGAGATATCGGGGAGGAGAAGCTGTTTGACAGCTGTAGATTGTTATGATGGGATGATTTGTGCTCTACAACAGGCTGAATTTAGATTTCCACATGTCCTGTTCATACACTGATTTGTATTTTAGAAAACTAAGCACACTACAGCAATGGCATCTCATCTGTTAAAGTTGAGAAAGAGCAAAGCAAATTAAATATAATGATTTTATTAAAAACACACAAACTGATGGTTTCTGAAAAGTTGGCTAGGATATGTCTAGGCCATTTCAGATGATATTATTGGATAACCCCCATGAAAGTTAACCCCACAACTGTGATAAGATGGTTCTAAGTCTGGGATCAACACCACTTCGCGGCAGCTACTTATGGCCCAGACAGGTGACTTGCTGTTAAACCCAGAAAAAACGCAGCGGCCTAGCATTGAGAATAGGATTTCAAGTGGTCTCATCTTGGCCACATATTAGGAATGTGGCTGGGAAAGTTCTCTAACCTTTCTGGGCCTCAAAATAAAATTCAGTTTTCCCCGATTCCACCCTGACTACCCAACAATCTCTCTCCGGGCTTACCAGCAGAGGTCTCACTCTCCAACAGACTGGCAAAGTGTCTGTTCTCAGGGCTTGCCATGCCCACACCTGCTTCACTCTTTTCCAGATCTGCATCCAGTGGTCATATGCTCCTTGTATCTCTTGCTAGCTGGATTCTTCCCTCCTCACTCAGGTTTATCTGTGTCTTATCTCGCCCACTCTAATGCTCCTTAAATGACTCTTCCTTCTCTCTATCTCTGCATGTTTCTCTCGAAATTGTTGTGGGATTTCTAAAACCAAAGTCACATTCTTGCATTGTTCTCTGTAGCTGTTTCTGGGCACATGGCACTTTTCAACCCAAATAAATTGAATTGCTTTAAATTCCTCAAAAGGCAGGGCCATATGGACACACTTTATTTTTTATCTGAGTCCTGCATAGCACTCAATAATACAAAAAAAAATAGTTTGGGGCGCCTGGGTGGCTCAGTCAGTTAAGGAGCTGCCTTTGGCTCAGTTCATGATCCCGGGGTCCTGGGACTGAGCCCGTCGGGCTCTCTGTTCAGTGGGGAGTCTGCTTCTCCCTCTCTCTCTGCCCCTCCCCTGCTGTGCTCTCTCTCTTGCTCTCTCTCTCTCTCAAATATATAAAATCTTTAAAAAAAAAAAAGCAAATAGTTCTTAGATCAACAGAGTTGGGGTGACATCCTCACAACACAGGGATTGGTAAGCCCTCTCAAGAAATTCTCTTTCTAAATAACGAATTCTGAAATAATGAGGATGCCAACCAGATGATAATGTCTCCCTAACTAGCCCCACAGTTTATGAAGAAAAGATGTGCTGATCACATATGGGCTATATAAGCTCATAGCCCAAATGGCGTGGTATTTTTTCTTTCTTAATATGTTCAAGTTTTAGTACTAAATATTTCTTTAATCATGAAGATGCTAATAAATGGCATTCCCCTGAGAGTTTAGGTTGAACTCCTTTGCATTCAGATGCATGTGACTTGCATCTGAATTTAGATAAAATATACTGTAGTTACATGCAGATTAAAATAAGCAGCCATGCTTGATTACCCTGGGAATTACTTATATTTCATGTAATAGCTGAATTTGACTTATCCAAAACTCAAACTTAAATCAGATTAATAAAACTTTGAGTTAAATAAACATTGAAAAACTTTAACTTAGCAATAAACCTAATGATCTGCAACTCTGACACAAGAAAATAGGGCATAAAATATCAAGGATACGGCAGTTTTTACTCCAGTCTCATATTGCAAATTTATCAACATTTATGCCAAAATACCATCCTGATTATTGCATATTTTCCTGCATCACATTAATAACTTAATTTTTAACCAATTAGTATACACTATGTATAAAAATCCACAGTTTCATTGTCCAGAGGGCTTTGGCATTATGGCTCAAATCTATCTGCCCATGTCTACGCTTTGGACACATTCTCCAGAGGACTCAGCAACATCCTGGACTACTAAATCCCTATTGTGCCCCACCTACCAAAACTGAGATTCATTTTGCTCCTAAAGAACGAAGAAGAAATTAGTTAGGGTCTTCATTTGGCTAGACTCTAGGGAGAAAATCTCAAGGCAGAAGAGTCAGTAACTTGACAGCATTGTTTGCTTATGTTCCTTCAGGCCGTCTTTCTAGTTGGCTTCTAATTCTCTGCCCTTCAATTTGTCTGAAGGCAAAGCCCCAGATGTTGCTAAGTCATGCAGCATATCCACACTCTGTATGTGTAGACCCATTCTTGGCCTCTGGCCGGCGCTGCTGTGTGCATCCTTAGCAGAGGGGCACATCCTTGGGACAGCAGTGGTAAATACTCCTGCTGCTCCCCGCAAGCCTGGCAAGTGATGATGATGGCCAATAAACAAGAAAAGTTACCTTCCTGGGGGGGATGTACTTCCCTCTAAAGGAAGCTACCTTTCTGAGATTACTGGAGAAGTCCAAAACTTACTTTCTTCTACAGTTGGGAGTTTTCAAAATGCTGGCTCCTCAAATACCCTGTAAGAACCTATCTTTACCCAGTAGATGGCTGAGACACACTTTCCAAAGCTGACCTTGAGGGAGAATGACTTCTGAGATGGTATATATCTCTGGAGGTGTACTTCTGTGATTTTCCTGCAGGAATCCTGAGGGTACATGGGGTGAGGGGCTTTCTCAGCTATTCAGATCAATTCTGAAAATTGTCATTGCTACAAAGATGAGTCCTATGCTTAGGTGATTAGGGACTTGGCTGGGCAACACACGTCTTTGAAGATCTTTGGAGGCCCTTCAGAAGGTCAAAGCTGAAGAGAAGAATCAATCAGACAAACAGGTGTTTGCAACTGAGTTTATCTTAGTCACAATGGGGACCCTGTTAAGATGAATACTTCTACCTTTAGTTACTGGATATAGAAATTTGAAACACACTTATAAGTCCCAGCTTGTCTGTCCCTAATGTAATTTCAATCTTTGATTAAAAACAAATAAAAAAAAAGAGTTCTTTAATTGATGATATTGTTTTTTCTTTATGAAATAGTTTTATTCAAAAATGGCTGGATATAGTTATATTTTCTGTAAAGAAAATCATTTTTTTATCAATAAAAACATATATTTGACAAATTAAATTGTTATTCTGTGTTAAAGAAAATTCTTGATACCTTTCAAACATGCACATATCAGCCTATTAACAGAAGGACCCTGGCCCCACTGAATTTTTCTTTTCTTTTTCTTTTTAAGATTTTATTTATTTGACAGAGAGAGAGAGCACAAGCAGGCAGAGTGGCAGGGAGAGGGAGAGGGAGAGGCGGGCTTCCTGTCCAGCAGGGAGCCCGATGCAAAATTCGATCCCAGGACCCTGAGATCATGACCTGAGCCGAGTGGAGATGCTTAATCAACTGAGCCACACAGGTGCCCAGAATTTTTCGTATCCATCCCAGACTTGTTTGAAACCAGACTTAAATCAGTGATGTGAAATCTTAAGTGACAACTCAAGCAATAGTTCACAATATACCTTGCAATAAAACCAGAGAACTAAATCCAGAATATTACCTTATTTGGAGTTCTCTCCTTTCCCTAAATACTTAAGTCTTTCAAGTTCTAAGAGAATCATTCTTGTATTGACTTAAATTACAGAATAAGAGATATTTTCTTATAGTCCCTCCCCCCAAAAAGAGAGAAAACAATTCTGTTGAATTAGTGGTTAAATACAGTATTCCTTCCCTCAGAAGTAAATCAGCAGCATTTGGTGCTTGTTTAGAAATTCCTGAGCATTTTTATTTTTTGCATTTTTACCTTTCAGTGGACCCTATGGCTATAAGATCCTTCTATTACTGTGGACCTTACTGGTCTCTACCCTCTACCACCTATGGTGGTTTGTTCCATACCACTCAGATCAGAATGTTTTTGTCCTCCCCAAATTCATATTTCAAAAACCTAAGCCCCAGGGGCGCCTGGGTGGCTCAGTTGTTAAGCGTCTGCCTTTGGCTCAGGTCATGATCTCAGGGTCCTGGGATCAAGCCCCACAAGGGGCTCCCTGCTCCGCGGGAAGCCTGCTTCTCCCTCTCCTTCTCCCGCTGCTTCTGTTCCCTCTCTCTGTGTGTCTCTCTCTGTCCAATAAATAAATAAAATCTTTAAAAAAAAAAAAACCTAAGCCCCAAAGGTGATGGTATTAGTGGGTGGGGCCTTTGGAAGGTGCTTAAAAATCATGAACGTGAAACCATGATGAATGGGATTAGTGCCTTATATATAAGAGGCTGCAGAGAGCTCCCATAGCCTCTTCTGGCATGTAAAGATACAATAAGATGTCTGTGACCCAGAAGAGGCCCCTCCCCAGACCATGCTTGCTCCCTGATCTTGGACTTCCAGCCTCCAGAACTATGAGATAACTTTCTGTTGTTTTTAAGCTACCTAATCTGTGGTATTTTGTGATGGTAGCCTAGATGGACAAAGACACATACTGAGGACAATTGCCCTCACTCTTCTTCCTTCTGCCTGTCATTAATGCATCATAAATCTGTGAATTGCAGGCTATCTGCCCTGCCAGTAGATGATGCAGGCAACTCATAAATAACACAGCCTGACCAACTAACTAGTTCTGAATTAGAATAGGCTCTTACATTTTCAAGTGTCAGTCAGAAAGAAGTACCACATAGGAAGCATGCTAATAACTAAGGATACTTATATATATTGGACTCACGAAATGTTCATGAAATTTACAATCATAGCCTCTCTCCGACAGTAACTAGGATGGACAGAAGAGTCCACTGCAACATCCAATAGCAAAACTGACCACAAAGCCATTGGCACTGATTGTTAAGATTG